TGAAGCAAGCTGATCAATATACTTATCTGCTCCTTGAGGAAACTGTGTCCCTCCTCCAGGGAACCTAAACACATTACCTTCATACTGAATCCAGTTCTGAATGGCCTTCTCGACCGTCAAGCTCTTATAGGGGGCATTCGCATATGGAACATAATCCCGACTCTTTGGCCATGGAAATGGGGTGACATACCCCTTAGGTGCTGGAATAAGGCAATGCAACTTCTTTTCTGGAGGCGGACAATGCCTTTCTCGATAGATCATATTTTCCCTTGGGAAGTGCATAGCACGCTTTTGATCTTGACATGGTGTATGATCAGTGTAACGAGGACGACATGGCTTAAATTTTTTGACTTCTGTTCCTGAATCATCAATACTACCTGCTTGGCCACCATGACGAGTCTCAAAATTGAGATTTGGTAGGATATTGCAGTTCTCACCACTCTTGGTGACTGCCAGAGCTATACTATCTCCCTTCCCAACGCCACTTCTCTGCCATGATCCAAGCAAATAGAAGAAGCAACAGAGACCGGCTACAATAAATATTGACACAGAAGTCCTGGTCCTATTGTCCCCCAAGCTTTTGTTTGCCATTGCTGTACTGAAATGATTTCAGCATTGAGTTAGGAAAGCGAAGGAAACTGAATACCGATACACATGTTTTTTTAAAAGTATCAGAAGTATAGCTAGATCAGAGCATAGTTCGGCAATAATTTGCTCGTTGAGGTCCCAAAAGATCATAGCTTTTGGTACCGAATGCTGTAAAGTGTACAAGATTCTAGAAATTAGCAGAAGTCAATTAAAGCTACGAAAGGAAAATCAGATAAATCTCCTTCTTCTCCCTGATACTCCAATAACTGCAAATTAAGGTAGCAGGAGATTACCATTGAATTTTAAACACCTAGCAGTGTACTTGGATCAAAATTATTTTTTTTACTCTCTGCATCCCAATTCTTCATGTGACACTTTTTCCTTTTCAGTCCGTTTAAAAAAGAATGTCACATTTCTATAATTGGAAACAATTTTTTGATGACCACACTTCTATAATTGGAAACAATTTAAACTTTAAAATTATCATTTTCCCCTTAATGAAATACAGCCACACAAATGGTCAAGGAAGAGTATTTCTTACTTAAACTTTGTGTCAAGTCAAATGATGCGGACGGATGGAGACATGGAGTACTTGTTTTCCAGTAGGAATACACAAAAGTGTAACAAACCAACCCATAAATCAAGCTTTTAAATACATTCTCTTTTTAGTTTCCTAAACAGTAAACAGGTATTTTAACAAATAACAGTGCCTCTAATAGACCACCATTAAAAGCTACAGAACAAAAGAGAGAGAAAAGAAATATGAAACCAAGAATTGATAAAATGCTAAAAACTGCAAGTTTATTACACTTTAACTACACCTAAGAAGTTAGTATGATACAACATAAGAAAAGATTTGAACTTTACACAGTTAATGGGTCTAGAAAGTGAAAGTCTCACTTGACAAATGAATCAATCAAATTGACAAGAAAGATAGGAACTTTATAATCAAGAACCCCAATGAATAAATGAAAGATCAGCTATATAGGGTTGAATCAGCATACCAATAGCATGAAATCCCCCCTCCCCCAGCCACCCCCACACACTTTCTTAATGACCTTCCAACTCTGATTTATTTTGCTTTACAGTCCACAACAGAAACTTGAAAAACCAAGACCTGATACTTAGAGCAGACCCAAGAAAATAGATCTTTAACTATACCCCATATGAAAAGATTTGAACTTTATACAGTAAATTGGCTTAAAAGTGAAGTCTCACTTGAAAAATGAATCAATCAAATCAAACTGTCAAGAAAGATAGGAACTTTATAATCAAGAATTCAAATAATTGAATGAACCATCAGCTATAGAGGGTTGAATCAGCATACCAATGGCATGAAATTTTTTTCCAACACTTCCTTTCCTGCTTTATTTTGCTTTGTAAGTCCCCAACTCAGATATGAGTTTCAAATTAAATCAAGAACAGAAAACACTGCAAAACCCCTAATTTGTTTTTTTCCAATGATATCTACAAGTATATACATCAAATTTACAACTCTCTGTGTCTCTCTTTACAACTCTCAGTTGTTTTACATGTTTTTTTTTTTTGCGGTGGTGGG